AAGTGGAGAAGAACTTTCTTAACAAGGCTCTAAATGTAGAATCAAAAAAAAGCAAATTTTTATAGATTTGACTATATTAATATTAGAAATTTCCATACACCTAAAAACACGAGAAAATTAAAATGGAAACAATAAACTGGGGAAGCCTCTACACGGAAGCAAGGACTCTGCACCCAGACTGCTTAGGGCAAATCTTACCTCTACTATTTATACTTGTCTCACCTTGGGCACGTGATTTAACTTTGCTGTACTTCGGTTTTCTGCTCTATTTTTTGAGATAAAAATATTGTTTACTTCACAGGATTGTTGTGCTTTCAATTAAAAGAGTTGCTGTAAGTGAATGCAACGTAAGTACCTACTGGTAGTGGTAGATAAAGTGCTCCAACATAAATCATGACAAAAATGACAAAAACCTTGAGTGTCAAAGGACAAATGTCACGAGCAAGTAATTCACAAGTTAAGGACTAAATCGGCAGTATATATACTGGGTTTTGCCCACGACACTGGCTAAGATTTAAAAACTTGATAAAAAGCCAACATTGGTGAGGGAATGTGGAAACTAACACTCTCATACAACATTAATAGGAATGAAATTTAGTGCAAACATTTCTGGTAGGCAATTAAAATCTATGTATCAAAAGTTTTAAAGGGATTCATATTCTATAAAACAGTAATTCCACTTTTAGAATGTTACTAGGAGAACTATTCAGCTTTAAGAAACAATAGTGATATAGCACCTCTTGTATTCTCCTGGATAGAGCTGGAACACATTCTACTAAGTGAAGTATCCCAAGAATGGAAAAACAAGCACCACACGTACTCACCATCAAATTGGTATTAACGGATCAACACATAAGTGCACATATAAGAATAACATTTATTGGATGTCGGGCAGGGGGAAGGGGGGAGGAGGGGACGGGTATGTGCATATACAAAGAGCGCGATGAGCACCATCCGAGGGATGGACACGCTTGAAGCTCGGACTTGGGGGGAGGGAGGGGGGCAAGGGCAACATACATAACCTAAACATCTGTACCCCCATAATATGCTGAAATAAAAAAAAAAAAAAAGAATATTACTGGGAGAAATAATCATGAATAGCCCTTGAGTTGTACAAGGAAGTTCAAAACAACTTTTTCATAACAGCAAAAATGTCAAAAAGTAAATGCCCAACACTAGTGATTATGTGAGTATATTGTTTCAGTTATATAATGAAAGCAATGGAAGCAATTAAAATTTTCTTTATTATCCCTGGAATATTCTATGTTTTTGTAATACCACAATAAAATATTTTAACCTGTAAAAGAATAGTTAATAATATAAAAAATTGTCCAAAATATATTGCTAATTTTTTAAAACAGATTACAAAATAATATATACTGAATTATCCAATTTGGGGTAGTCTATGTTTTATGTATAATGGTATAAAGTGTATTTGAGGGATAATTTCTTTTTAATGCCCATCATGGATTTCACAGTAAAGACTTCTGTAATGTGTGTCCAGCTCAGAAATCATCAAATGCCCAGAAATCCCAGAACCGACATTTTAAAAGGAGCAAGGCCAATGTCACATGAAGTAGAAGAATAAATTTTTAATAAGGTAAAATTGAACAGTGTTGTTTCAGGGAAAATAAAAATAATGCTTGCTTTGGTGAAATGTCTTTGCTTTTTAAGTAACTACTGAGGAAATTTCCGACACCTTTCCTGGTAAGAAGGAAGGGGCCTGTATTGGGACACTCACTGTCTCCTGCTATCATGGCACCAAAACCTACCTCTGCCCTTCAGAGCCAGCAAGAGAAGAACGTTCACTAGCATTTGGCCAACACCAGATGAGCAGCAGCTCGGTGGGGTGAAGCTTCCCCAGGAGAGTTAGGGCCTAAGGGACTCTAGGAAAAAGACACTGAGCATTGAGAGGAGACAGAGCTGTAAGTAGTCCCAGCCTGGACCAACACCCAAATCTGAAAGAGCTCCCTCCTCCAGGCTGAAGGCTAGATTTTCTGCAGCCCAATCAATCCCTGATGCCTGCAGTCTTCTGAGTCAAAGGCTCACTGGAAACAAGCTTGCAGGGAAGGACAGAGGAAGCACGAGAGAGAAAATGCACCCCCTAGAATTCACATAAGATCTTAGGGAATGGAAAAGACCAGTCCAGGACCCCGGGGAAGTCAGTAAACAATTCGCAAGGACTGGGCCAGGGACCTGGGAAATAATATAACTGATGCTCTGTCTATACACAAGAGGTCCCCTGTCATGGCTCTACACCAGAGAGTTGGAAGGATTAGGTACAGCCGGGAGGCTAAGCCTCTCTTAGAGCACAGAGCTGAGCAGACACTGTAGTCAGGCAGAGAGGAGGCCGTGGACTGAAGGAGGGGAGCCTGAGAGAGGCAGGCAGGTGCAGGGTTATCTACGATGTGGTTAGGGCTGACACGAGGGACCTCTGCCTATCATCACACACTTGGGTTCATACACACACACACAGGCTCGTAGCCCAACAGTGGGGGCACAGTGCACTTCACAGACCAACTGACTCGGTCACTTCTTGGCAGTTCCCCTTACACAGATAGCCTTGACACGCTGCTCTCACACCCCTCACATCCCTACACACAGGCACGTAGCCTGAAGAAGCACAAATACACAAAACAAATCCTGATGGGGCAGTCCTCTCCAAGGCAGAGGAAAAACAGCCCAGCAGATGGAGGGTGCGAGCTGTAGCCGGAGTCAACACTAATCCTTCCCACACACTAGGAGCCATTGGTACTGAACAGACGCTCCCTTGAAGACAAGGGAGACATGGGAGAGGACGGAGACTGACTCAGCCCAGTCTGGAACCAGACATCATTTCTCTACAAAATCTGCCACTGTGACCAGTTGCCACCCCTCAGGACAAGAACCAATATTCACAATCACTGTGGTTCCTCTTGGTCCAAAACACGTGGTCTACCGTGAGGGCTTGGCTCCATACCTGCAGGGACCTCTCCCTTTGCCAAGGGATCCACCCACTCACCGTTGCCCCCAGGAAAAGAGAGGCAACTCTTACCTCGAGTACCCACGAGGGTGCTGAGGAGCAGAAAACAGAGTCCCTGGAGACAGAGATGTCCATTCGAAGCCATCTTGACTCCTATGTCATCAGGGTCACAGCCCCACTACAAACAATCCTGTGAGCACCAGGATACTGAGAGGTCCACAGCAATGGGAGGGGATATACAGACACATCCCCCATCCCCCATCCTCCCTACTGGGCGCCAATAGAGACGCCTTCTACCGTCTCAGATGCTATCAGACTTCATCTGCCCTGAAGCTCAAACACCAATTAGATTCTGAATCTTCAATATCTCCTTATATGTGCAACACGGCCCTTTGACATCATGTTTCCTTAGGTCCCTGAGAACCCGCCCGTGATGGGGGCTGGGGCAGAAAACCTGCACCCAAAAGCTGGTGCGGCTCTCTCTCCCACAAGGGCCCGCTCTGGCCGAAGGACTGTGAGATCCTTTGGGGTCGAGGGGCCGCGGTCACTGACCCTCATTCCCTCGGCAGTGGAAGGATGTCCTGGTGTAATCAGACTGTCGTTCTTCCCTGTGACTGAGCTCACGGCCACAGCAGAGAACCAGGAGGAGGCCTGCAGTAGAAGAGTAAGCATCAGTGGTACACAGCGGGGACCAGCAGCATAGACTGTCACAGGTGAATGCAGAGGGAACGAGGTGGGAGTCACGCAGTGGTGGGCGTGCTTATGGGTCCCTCGGGAAGGTCTTTCTCCCCTTCTTGCAGCCAGAGGGCCTGGAGCTCAGCGGGTTCATGGCAAGGGCCTTTGGCACAATATAACTTTCCCCCTTCAGGGGGTCTCTCAGCGCTCAAGACCACTGTGCCCAGCTCACACGTGCCACCTGGGGCCTCGGGGCCACGAAGAAGGGCTGCAGCCTGCAACATACGTGCAGAGCCCATCTCTTCCTCCCGGGGCCACTGCCCCGGCCGCGGTCCTGCCCGAGAGCCGCTGGTGCCTGGGGACTCTCTGCCGCCCCACACACTCTTGCTTATCCCGGAGCAGCCCCTGGGCTCCCTCCACTTGCTCATTTGCTTCACACAGTTGGCTGATCCACTGGCACCACCTATTTTCCTGCCTTCACCCTCCTACCATTTTGGATTCTCTCTTACTTCATGGCTTGGTGCAGCCTGAAGCTGGGCCCCAAATCCATCTCATCCTTGCAATCTCCAATACGTGTGCTCCTCCTCTTTTCAGTTTTAATGGTGTTGCTGTGAGTAATAGGAAAGCAATTTAAATGCTGAACATTAAACATTAAAAATGTTAGGAAGACATTTTTCACACCAGGGAAAGAAACACTGGAGATATAAATAACGAGTGCTCCTAGGGTATGAATGTCCACTGAGGTGAAATTTGGGAGTTACTGGGCGTTGTGCATAACACACCATCCGCATTCAACCCAGCTGGTATCTACTAAGCATCTACTCCACACGGTTGCTGTAAGTACACCACACAGGCAGAGAATAAAACCAAGACAGACACTATCCCTGATTTTGTGGGGTTTACAGTCCAGCTGGCGGTGAAAGGTGTTATGCAAATAATCGGATATAAAATTATTTAATAACAGATAGCTATGAAGGAAAAATGCTGTGGGTAATGAGAGGTTATAATGTGGAGAGAACTGTGGTGGGAGTCGAACCCAGTGAGGGGAGGCTTCTTTTGGAAAAGGGACATTTATGCTGACACCTGATGAATGCGTTGCAGTGTATAATGAGGGTCCATCAACCCACACCTATGGCCCCTCCCTAGACCCTGCACTCCCTGGCAACTGTTTCCTCTGAATTTTTACCTGTTGAACTTCTATTCTTTTAACTCCTACTCTTGCTTTGAACATACTTGCCCTTCAACTCATCAACACCTCTACTCCCGTGAATCTCTTGCTCCACTTGAGGTAGAATGCACTAGGAATTGGTGACAGAATTAAAGATGAGATCACCAAGCGGTGCCTTTTAGTTGACTGGGGCATAAAGACCTAGAGCCAGCCCTGAAGGGATCCAGAGTTTGGGAGAACTAAGCTTATATTATCGAACTTGTTAGGAACATTGAGGCAGAACAGGAAGCACAAGGGAACTACCATCTTCTCCATGGCGCATGTGTAAAATGCCAAAAGGAGTGATGCTACTCAGTCTACCCTAATATTTCCACGTTTCATTGTCAGTCAAGACTGCCCACAGACCAATATTTTGGTGCAGGAATGGAGTGGAGATTTAGGAAGGTAGAGCCAGTAGAAACCTAAACTGAGAGAAAGCACATGAAACTCAGGTTGAGACCAAAACAACTACAAAGGACAAACGCAGCTATAGAATCTGTACAACCTGTCCAGAAAAAAATAGACAACCAATTGCAATCTATCCGATGGGAAGGCAAGTGCAAACACTACCTCTCTACCACTTGCAGACCAACAATGGAATGAACTCAGTCAAGTTGATTGACCAGAACTGTTGCCAATGGGTGCACTATTAGCAGAGGCTGTCCCTTCATTCACTTGGCAGGCATCAAAGAAAAAGGGAAGCTCTCTGCTCAGCAGGGTGGATTTTTCTGTTTCTTTATCAGTTTTGTTTTGTTTTTTAAAAGTGATTTTCATTTGTTAGTGGCAAATCCACACACTTGCAAAATGTCATTCCTAATGAAGATTGAATTTAGGGGTCTCAGAACTAGGGAGAAATGAATTTTCTATCCATTTTCTGGTTTGTTGTGATTTTTTTTTTATGAGGGTCTTGCTCTGTTGACCTGGCTAGTCTTGAACTCCTGGGCTCAAGCAATCCTCCCTCCTCAGCCTCCCATGTAGCTGGGATTATAGGTATGAGCCACCACACCCAGCCTAAGCAGTGTTTTGAACTCACTGCTTCTCTTCCCTTCGGAGTTACTTGATGCTGTTTCAAAATCATACCAACTCTTTACGTCCCAGTCAACAGGTTGACAACACAACCCTCTTGCTCCAGCTCACTCTCCACTGAGTGTGAGTGGGACCCTCACATTGCACCCACTCTGTTCAAGGAGTCCCCTTAACGTCCAGACTCACATTTCATCTGCTCAGTGCCCCTCCCACAGGCAGCTTTAAACCTCAGGCCCCATTCGTGGTTCTCTCACACTCCAATGGCTGAGTGTGACTGCCAGGTCCAGCCTCTATCCTCCTGGACTGAACAGAGTTGTTTCCTAAGCCCCACTCCTCAACACACTGGTGCACCCCACGGGTGCCTCTCAGTCTTTGCCAACTGGTCCCAACCACTATTAACCCAAGGCAGGCTGACACCCCTGAGCCACCTGCAGAGGCTAATCTGCAAGCCTGAGCCAAACAAGGCAGAAAGACCCCCCCACGCAGTTGGGTAGCAGCCTCTGCCTTTCCTCTCCCTTGGCCCACAGCGGTTCGGGCTGAACACTAACACCTTCACTTCCAGCAGGCAGAGAAAGCCCCAATTACTCACTTCCGTGTTTCAGCCATTTTCATCAGCAGCCATTTTCTCTACACCCAGTCAGAAAAAGAAAATGATAAAGTTTAACAGTAAAAGTGAAAATTCTCAAGGGTGTGTAAATATTCCTGTTCAGGGTCCTGTTCATACACTAGATGGGCAACATAGGGTCCCACGCTACCCCCAGAACATTCTGTTTCTTATGTTAGCCACCTTCGTGGAGCGTATTGCACTGGCTTAAGCCCGTTTCCTCATTTAGTTGCTGCTGGTGAATGCTTTGATAGTCCAGGGTTTTTTTTTAATATTCATTTCATTAGGTTTAAGACAGGGGGATTTTGTAATCCAGTCTAGCTTCTCTTGCAGACCAAGATTTTATTCATTTCTTTATTTAGTCATTCACTTAACATGTATTTATTGGATACCCCGTAAATTCCAGAAACTGTGCAAAGGATATAAGAATAGCAGAAACAGACAGTCCCTACCCAAAGAGCTTGCGTAGAGTGGGTGTCCACAACTAAACAAGTGCCATAAAGCAGGATTTTGGTGTTCTCACGGTGGATGGGTACACCCACATGAGATGAGGGAATTTATAGGAAAATTCCCAATTAAAATAAGGCCTGTGCTTGTCTTATAATGTTGAGGAATCTCACCAAGTTGGGTGGAAGAGGGTGCAGAGAGAACAGAAAATTCCCAAAGGTGGGAGGAACCTTGGCCTTTTCCTGAGGTATAGAAAGTGAAGTGTGCCAAGACCACAGAGAGCGAGCGGAGAAAGAGGAGCCACTAGGCAGCAGGTAAGCAGAGGACGCTCAGGAAGGTCCCCCTGAGTTCAAGGCTGGGCTTTCATCTTGGACACTGAAGACTTCTAAGCTGGGACTGACCCTATGAGGTCGCATTTTAGAAAGGTCACTCTGCTGCCATGAAGGGGATGCACTTGGGAGGACAAGAGTGGAGCAGCATGATGGAGTCGGGGGGTGGGGGGGTGGGACTCAGACAAGAGTTGGTGGTTCTCTGAACAGGGAGAGCAGCAGCTGGGATGGAGAGAAATGGAGGCATCTGAGTATTAGGGCAGAGACACCAACAACAATACCTAAGTCACATGAGATCCAAGTTCTCCCTCACCCTTGAAAGTTCCACAGCCTATGCATTTAGGAAATCCTTAAGGGTGCCTTACACGTATCCACAAATCACTTTACACTGTAGCAACTACCTAAGAGGATTATCTGTAGTTGCACACAACTGCCCACAGAGATGTCAGTTCTAGTTTCCTCTCACCATCCCTCACCTGAGCAATGGAGGGCCTCCTCTTGGCCTGATGATGCTCTTGTGAAGTGCAAACAATACTTTCATTAGGGGATGGGTCCACAGTAGGGTTGCTTGTGCCCAAGGCACTGCACAGGTTAGCAATTTAACACACAGCACCCTCTCCCCAGCCACACACCTGTCACCCAGGTGACTGGGACAGGCCGAGTCCTAGTCACAACAGTGATGAGAGTAGGACTGTGTCTCATGTCCTCCTGAATTCTAAATTGATATTCAGTTTTTATCAAAAAGACAGCTGCACTCAAATGTTTATTGCAGCACAATTCACAACTGCAAAGATATGGAATCTACTCAAGTGTCCATCAGTTCATGAGTGGATCAATAAAACGTGGTATAGCATGGA